TAAACCTATATTTTAAATACAATGTAATATAAAATTTATTTCTTTCAACAGGAAAAGACATAAACTCAATCTGCACCAGTGGAGGGTCAGGTTGGACGTCAGGAAGAATCTCCTCACTGAAAGGGTTGTTAAGCATTGGAACCGACTGCTCAGGGCAATGGTGGAGTCACCATCCCTGGAAGTGTTCAGCAAATGAGTACATAGTGCCATGCTTTAATTGACAAGGTAGTGCTATTCTATTCTATTCTATTCTATTCTATTCTATTCTATTCTATTCTATTCTATTCTATTCTATTCTATTCTATTCTATTCTATTCTATTCTATTCTATTCTATTCTATTCTATTCTATTCTGTCCTGTTGCAAAATAGTATGTATCAAATCAGGGCTAGAGCCCCAGATCCCTTTCGGATCAGTGTTGCAATTTTACAAAGTACCAACCAAAAAGAAATAGGTTCATTAAGAAATATGTATACAGTGGTGATCTCCTTTCCTTTTTGCATATAGTCTTTTCACTGCTCAAGAAATCTAACACAACTGCCTTTTGATTAAGTCATTATCTGCCAACCAAACCAGCCTTCAGAATAACTGCTGTGGTTCAAATGAACTGGATAGGAAGGTGGGTAAAATGTCCCTGGGATAAGGTAAAAGCTTGTCTTGCTTAGCCCTTCCAAACTGAAAGTCAATTGCTCTGCTGAAATTGAGGTCTATTTCCTGCATGGTGTAAGTCTGAAATGATAATCCCAAGGACCCTGAGGTCCTCAGACATTCTCTCTGCTGATAGAAAGAACATGTAGGTAGTAGTTAAACTCTACCTCTCTCTGTTGTATTCTCCTTGCACTGCAGCACTCCAGCTGTAAAAAAAAAAAAATTAAGCTAAAAACTTTTCTCTACTTCAAAGAGAAAAGCTGAGTATCAGTAGATTCAGAGGTTGCAGTGCATCTGGATATGACAGGAGCATGAACCAGCTAACAAAAGTGGAGTGAGGAGTTTGCAGGAAACAAAGATTGTTGCTCTCCTGCATCTTAACATCTCTTTTCTCTATAAACTTGGGGTACTTAATTGCCATTGGGAAGCATTTTCCTTTAATTTTCAAGAGCACCTAAACCAAGAGTTTGTTAGGCAGAATTAGGGAAAGTTCCCATTAATCATACTGCAGCTACGAAAAATGTGGAGTGCTTTACAGGGTTAGAATCTTTCTCTCACAGTAATGGATATCTGACCTTGAATTCCAGCTCTGCTTATGGCCAGATGCAAACACCTCTAGGACAGACATTTATTCCTGTCTGCAGCTGCCAGCCCTTGTGAGTCCAGGGATTTGCATATTGCAGAGTCACTGAGAAGCAATGCATTGGGATTATGATTGTAGACAGATCCCTGCAGCTGGTTTAGAATGCAAATGGCAGCACAGCTGAAGATTTACAGTTGTAGAGCAGACCATAAAAATTCCTTGCAAATGGCCAAGATATTTTACTTTCATTGTAACAGCTATTTAGTCTAACTCTTAATTTATCTTCTTTTTACAACTTCCTACAAAGGTTAACTGAGCATCCCATTAGCATTAGACTATAAAACACCAACTTCTTACCATCACTGAGAAGTGAAGCACTGTAATTATTTCCTTCTGTTAACAACACAAAAATATTGTAGAGGAGATCATTATCTGACATAAATCATCATTTACTCACTTTTATCTCATGGGTCAGCCCCAGGCAATGAAACATAATTGCACAGATGAAATGTGTGGCAAAGCTGGAAGCTGAAAAAGTCTAGTTTCCTCTGAATGATATGATATGAGTGCATGGTGTACAGCATACCTTAGGTCTCTGTCTGTGAAATCAGTAATATAAGGTAAGATGTACATCAGTGAGTGACTGCAAAGATTCTACTAGATCATCTCAAGGGATAAGGCAGCATAAATGCATTAGCTTTCATGGAGCAACAGGAGCTCAGACTAGCTGAAGACTTGCCTCTCTGAGGGGAAAGGAATGTGGAGAACAGCAGTTTCATTAAGAAGACAGTGTGGGATGCATGTAAATATGAATGGCATCTGGCTTCTGGAAGGGTTCTTTCTTATGACAAACATGTGAAGGCAAGTCTGGAGCTTACAGTTACATTTCTTAGAGCCACTTCTTTCATTTAATTACTTTAGACTGAATATCTTGATATAACTCAGTTTATATGAACAAATTAGCTATAACAGCACAACATAATCATGAGATGAGTGGGACAAGAGCCTGATGGCAACACCAACAAAGCATGAAGGGTCAGGGCATGAGTTGCTCTCACAGTTTTGGGTCCAGTCAACACACACTCCTCTAAGTAGTGCCTGGGCAGAGTAGAGGAGGTAGCACAGGCCACCAGTCACTTCCAGTAAGCATTAAGGAATCCTATTCTGGTGAGGAGCTGAGCTGTATGGACAGGAAGAGGCTATTAAGTACTCTGTGGGTTCTTTTATTTACTACTACAGATGTAGTTAATTCAACTGTGGACATGTGAATTTAGTCCACTGAACCAAACATCTCAAGCCCATCAGCAGCAGTACCTGATCTCATCTGAACAGAGCTTACAAGAAAATGATGAGAGAATGGAAAATTTATTCCACTTCTAAGCACACAAACTCCCTGGAACATTTGGCAATGATAATACTTACCAGCATTATCCTGCTGCTTGGTATTTTTGATGTATGCAGAAAATTTGGAAAAGATATCAATTCCAGCAGTGTTTGATTCCCGGTGCTTAGCAGCCAGCTTGGGGTACCTGAAAAGGGAGAAGCAGTGTGGACAGTAACATCTTGTTACCAGCATCATAGTGATGATTACAAATACAATTTACAAGAAGAGAGAAAAAACTCCTGCATGAGGAACTGCAATTAACACTGTCATTTATCTCAAAACAACAGCTTGGCAAGTCCCTCTTAAGAATATCGGTTATCTGTCCATCAAGGCAGGCATTTGGAGAGTTACACAGGGATGGTTTCAAGACAAAGGTAATTGTATTTGTGCTTTGTGTTGCCACAATCCAAGATATGCTGGCCCTAAATCAGAAGGAAGCATAAATTTCCAGAAAAGTGCAGGGGAGTTTGGCAGACAGTTCCCTCCATTGTGAATGGCAGTCGTATCCAATCCCCTACGCTGAAAATATACTCCAGGAAAGAACAGCAAGGCATGTTAGGATTACCCAGATGAATGAACATAAAGTTTTCAGTCTCTGAATTGCTTCTCATGGACAACTACTGCAAAGGAATATATCGAATTGAAAGATCAACACAAGCTAACAACTCCTACTGACTTCAGTGGTCTTGGAGCAGAGTATAGAAAATTTAAATATCTGATCTCTTGCCTCAGGACTGGTTTATAGCTGCTGATTCACTTGGAGGCAAAACACTCCATAAGGAACCAAGCCAAATTTCATTGATCCATATATTCTAAGGTCCAACTCATAAGCCAACAATTTCTTTTTCCAATTATCCTTGTATTAAGTCCAAAATGTTTGACTAAATAAAGCATATCTGGTAAATCTAAACCCTTCCTTGGTAGCTTGTTCATACTGAAAAAATCTAGGCCTTATTTCTAATTTGAATTAGTTTGGTTATAACTTCCAGCCATGGGCTCTTGTCATTTCTTAACTAGAATAATGAGCACTTTTCTGCCTCCAGAGCCTCTGGTACTCTGTAATCAGTTCCCCTTCCAACCTTCCTAATACACCATAGAGCTCAGAAACCTCTAGTTTTTCACTGTAGAATGCTTTTCCTGGCACAGATATTTTGTGTGGCAATTCTCAGCATCTATTCCAAGTTATTTTTAGCTTTGCAAAATGTGGCCACCAGACCCCTACAACGTTTTTCTAGCACCGGTCTCCTTAATTCTGCATACAAGGACATCCTGAAATGTGTACAGAGAAAACATTCTGCAGTTATTAGTCACACAAGTAACCTTCACACATGGAAGTCATCTCACTGAAGCCAACAAGTTTCATAAATAAATATTACTCTGGTAAGTAAAGGCTGTAGGAAGGAGTGCTTTTTAGGAACTCCTCTTAGTACATCTTTCATTCCTAGGAAATGGAATATTGACTGCAAAAATCCCAAGTTCTTACTTTGGAGGTGCAAGAGTTTCTTCCAAGAATTCCTCAATCTTGTTAACATCTGTCTTAACTTCTCCATTAAATGTCAGGAAAGGTGGGTGGGTCCCAGGAGCCAAATTGTGCAGGTCAGCTGGCTTTCTGCAGACAGAGAAAAAAATCACTAATCTTATGGTCAGGTAGTTGCACAGATATTTATAGTTCCTATGAAATCACTCTGCCCCTTTTTTTTCTGTAATTTGTGGTTAGAAGACTTTGAAACTACCCCAAGCACCCTGTTTAATATAAAAACATTCCACAAGTGAAAAAAAAACCCCAACAACCAAACCTGAATCCCAGCTATTTTGTTATGCACCACAGGCTGTCTAGGCTAGACACAAATCTGATTGAACTTGGCTGGTCCTTTCTATAGGGCAAACACTGGATCACATAACCATTTTCAAATAAACTCAACAATTTTTACCTTTTCAAATCGACAGTGGTGACGTTGAACACAACTCCTTTGAGCCACAGGATCATGAAGAGACGTTGGGAGAACGGGCAGTTCCCAATGCTTTCTC